GGCACCTGGCCGCCGCGCTCGCCGCACGGCGAACGCTCGCATCTGGGGCCACGTGCCCCGCTCCAGGTGCGCAGCAGGATCTCCGACGAGCAAAACGCGCCCTCTCCCTCGCGAGAAGCGCGCCCGTTCCGAGGCGGCCACCGACCGCCCTGTAGGCGCGCGCCCTTCCAGCGAGGCGGCCACGGCACCGCAGGGAGGGACACGCGCCGCAGGGGGGGAAGGCCAAGGCCAGCAGCGCGCATGTCTCCGCACGAGCGCCGCCTGCGCCCGGGGTTACCTCCAGCGCTGCCGCCGCCGCCGCTTTCGCGGACCTGGCGTTCGGGGTCTCCCAGAGTGGCTTTCCCCGCGCTACCGAGGGGTCGCTCCCCTCGGCCGCCTACGCCGACGGAAGGAGTGCGGCGAGCCTCGGCGAGCCCCCTTACCCTCGCCAGAGCGTTCGCCTTCCGCAGGCGAGCCTGTCGACTCGCGGGGTTCCTGGCGCGACGCGGGTCGGGCGTGGGGCTGAGGAGCCCCCCGCCCGCAGATCGCGCGGCTCTCCTTCTTCGCGCGTGAGTTTCACTCTCTTTTTCGCCCGGCCTTCTGCGGGGCTGGACAGCACTGACGGCGGCAGGTGCGGAGCCCGCGCCTACGCCGGCACCAGCGCCAGCACCTAGGCCAGCACCGGGGCCAGCACCGACGCCAGCATTAACGCCAGCACTGACGGGGGCGGCACCGACGCCTGTGCCTACGCCAGCACCAGCGCCAGCGCTTCAGCCAGCACCAAGGCCAGCACCGACGCCAGCACTAACGCCAGCCCTGGCGGCGGCCGCACGCTGCAGCGCCGGCGCCTGCGCCTACGCCGGCACCATCGCCAGCGCCTACGCCAGCACCAAGGCCAGCACGGCGCCAGCACTCACGCCAGCACTGGCGACGGTTGCACCGACGCCTGCGCGCCTGCGCCTACGCCGGCACCAGCGCCAGCACTTAGGCCAGCACTGGGGCCAGCACCGACGCCTGCACTAACGCCAGCACTGACGGTGGCCGCACCGACGCTTGCGCCTACGCCGGCACCAGCGCCAGCGCTTCAGCCAGCACCGAGGCCAGCACCGACGCCAGCATTAACGTCAGCACTGACAGCTGCAGCGCCGGCGCCTGCGCCTACGCCGGCACCAGCGCCAGCGCCTACGCCAGCCCTAGGCCAGCGCCGGCGCCAGCACTCACGCTAGCACTGGTGGCGGTTGCACCGACCCCTGCGCCTACGCGGGCACCAGCGCCAGCGCTTACGCCCGCACCACGGGCAGCACCGGCGCCAGCACCAACGCCAGCACTTACGGCGGCAGCACCGACGCCTGCGCCTACGCCAGCACCAGCGCCAGCGCCAGCGCCAGCACCGAGGCCAGCACCGGCGCCAGTACCAACGCCAGCACCGTCGGCGGCAGCACCGGCGACTGCGCCTACGCCGGCACCAGCGCCAACGCCTACGCTAGCACCGAGGCTAGCGCCGACGCCAGCACTCACGCCAGCACTGACGGCGGCAGCGCCGACGCCTGCGCCTACGTCGTCACCAGCGCCAGCGCCTACGCCAGCACCGAGGCCAGCACCGACGCCAGCACTAACGCCAGCAATGACGGTGGCAGCACCGACGCCTGCGCCTTCGCTGGCACCAGCGCCAGCGCTTCAGCCAGCACCAAGGCCAGCACCGGCGCCAGCATTAACGCCAGCACTGACGGCGGCCGCACCGACGCTTGCGCCTACGCCGGCACCAGCGCCAGCGCCTACGCCAGCGCCGACGCCATCACTACCGACAGCACTGAAGGCGGTTGCACCGACGCCTGCACCTACGCCAGCACCAGCGCCAGCGCCTACGCCAGCACCGAGGCCAGCTTCGACGCCAGCACTAACGCCAGCACTGACGGCGGCAGTACCGGCGCCTGCGCCTACGCTGGCACCAGCGCCAACGCCTACGCCAGCACCGACGTCAGCACTGTCGCCAGCACTACCGCCAGCAGTGGCGGCTGCAGCGCCGACGCCTGCGCCTGCGCCGGCACCAGCACCAGCGCCTACGGCAGCGCCTACGCCAGCACCGACGCCAGCACTAACGCCAGCACTGTCGGCGACAGCACCAGCGCCTTCGCCTACGCCAGCACCAGCGCCAGCGCCTATGCCAGCACTGAGGCCAGCACCGTCGCCTGCACCAATGCCAACATTGGCTGCGGCTGCACCGGCGCCTGCGCCTATGCCGGCTACGGCGCGGGCGTCTACGCCAGCACCGACACTAGCATTGGCGCCAGCACTACCGCCAGCAGCACTAACTCTCACGCGCTATGTGGGCGACGGCTGAGGGCGGTAGTAGCGGAGAATCGCTTCAGCCGGCAACGCTGCGTTTGCCATGGCAGAAATTTTAAGCTGTTGGGTCTCACCGATCCGCTCCCACCCTTCGGGCAGTGCGGCTTCCGTACTCGGTGAATCCATTTGCTTTCGGCGGTTGGCGCACCGCGTGTCAATACGGCCTGCTCGGCTCTTCTAGCCGTCCGCCCCTCCCTGAGCCCCCCCTTTGTGCTCAGGTCGCCTCTCTTGTCGCTGCCTTACTGAATGCCGGCCCTACTGCGTGGCCCCACTTTCACCCTGCGGCCGCCCGCCGAAACCTTGTCACTTCGCAAGGGCTTTGAGCCTGGGCATGGCTGCTCCGCCGATCTCCTCGGCGGCCAGACGGAGCTCACCGTCTGAGAGCGGTGCCGCACGGCCCGCGCGCGCTGGGCGGGCCCGCACACTTTCGGGCCCCCTCGCGCACGCGCGCCGCGGCCGCCGCCCGGAGACTGCTCGCTTGCGCCGATGCGGGAGAATGCACGCTCTTATTCTCCAGCCTCTCGCGCCCTAGCAGTCTCTGCAGCTTCTCGGCCCCCCACCTCTCCCCCCCTCCTTTCACAAGGCTGACCTGCGGCGCTGCTCCGCCGATCTCCTCGGCGGCCAGACGGAGCTCACCGTCTGAGAGCGGTGCCGCACGGCCCGCGCGCGCTGGGCGGGCCCGCACACTTTCGGGCCCCCTCGCGCACGCGCGCCGCGGCCGCCGCCCGGAGACTGCTCGCTTGCGCCGATGCGGGAGAATCCTCATCCTCATCCTCATCCTCATCCTGCACCCTCCTCTTCCCGTCCTCTCCCGCTCCCCCTCTCCCGCCTTCTTCCCGTCCTGCTCTCCCCGTCCTTCTGCGTGCCCCCCTTGCCGTGCCCCCCCTGTCCTCCCCGCCCCCTTCCCCCTCTTCTGCCGCTGCTGCCCTGACGGGCCCAGTCCAGTCTTGCTGCTGCTGCTGCTGCTGCTGCTGCTGCTGCTGCTGCTGCTGCGACTGCCGCTCCTTCTCCATGGGCCCACAAGTACCGGCTCAGGGGCAGTCCCGCCACCGCCGCCTGCCTGCCTCCTGCCTCCGAGCTCTTCCGCCGACATCATGTTCCAGAGCATGACCCAGCTGCTCGGCTCCTGCAACAGCTCTGGTTCGCAGAGCTCCGCGTCGTCGCGAAGTTCCGGCGCGAGCGGGGTCACCGATGCGGCGGCCGCGACGCAGAAGCAGTATACCGTGGTGCAGGCGCCGGCAGTGCAGAGCCCAGGGCTGGGGAGCGCCTTCGGCCAGGCCGCGACGCAGAAGCAGTATACCGTGGTGCAGGCGCCGGCAGTGCAGAGCCCAGGGCTGGGGAGCGCCTTCGGCCAGGCCGCGACGCAGAAGCAGCATACTGTGGTGCAGACGCCGGCAGTGCAGAGCCCAGGGCTGGGGAGCGCCTTCAGCCAGGCCCCGACGCAGAAGCAGTACACTGTGATGCAGACGCCCGCAGTGCAGAGCCCAGGGCTGGGGAGCGCCTTCAGCCAGGCCCCGACGCAGAAACAATATCCTGTGGTGCAGACGCCGGCAGGTCAGAGCCTGGGGCTGAAGAAGGCCTTCAGCCAGGCCGCGACGCAGAAGCAGTACACCGTGGTGCAGTCGCCGCCGGTGCTGAGCCTCGGGCCAGGGAAGGCCTTCGGCCAGGCGCCGGGGCAGAAACAGTGTCCTGTGAGGAGGAGGAGGAGGAGGGAGGGCAAGGAAGGAGGAGGGAGGAGGAGGAGGAGGAGGAGGAAGGATCAGGAGAAGGAGGGAGGAGGAAGAGGAGGGGGGAGGAGGGAGGGGGGAGGAGGAGGGAGGGGGGAGGAGCGAGGAGGGAGGAGGGAGGGTGGGGAGGGAGGGAGAGAGGAGGGAGGGAGGGAGGCAGGGAGGAGGGAGGCAGGGAGGAGGGAGGAGGGGGGAAGTTCTTCGGCCAGGCGTCGAGGAGCCAGCCGGGCGAGGGGCCCCAGCGGCTGTTCGCCTCGGGCTCGGGCGAGCAGGCCAAGCTGGTGGGCGTGGTCGTCAACATCTCCGAGGGCACGTCGTTCGACGAGAACTTCCGCGAGGCTCCCCGAGCGCGTTCCACTCTCGGGCCGAGCCAAAGGGGGGGGACAGGGAAAGGGGGAGGTACGACATCTGCTGCGCGCAGCCGGTTTCGGCCCCGCCGCCGGGCCCGTTCCTCGATACGTGGGCGCCTCCCGGCGCCGGGAGGCGCTGATTCTGAGCTACGTGAGCTGATTCTCACCCCCCTGCTTTTCTATCCCCCCCTTTCGCCCGGCCCGGCACTACCCGCAAAGTGCCTACTCGCAAGCGTCCGAAAAAGACACGTCTGCCGCGATGCAAGGTATCGCAAATCCCCCATGGCGGATCCGGGCCAAGTTGCGAGTAGCCTCTTTGCGAGTAGCGGAACGCGCTTGCCTAGAGGTGGAGCCTGTGACCGTGCCGGGCGAGCGGATCAGCACGTACAGCATGCTGTGCTGCGACGTGGGCAGGCTCCACGACCTTCTGAACGGCGACCAGAAGCCCCCAGCCGCCCCGTCGACCTGGGCGGAGCTCCTGGAGGACATCCAGAGCGTGCCAGCCGACGGCGTCACTCTGAACTGGGAGTGTTGCAGCGGCTGCAGCGACCAGGGCTTCCCGCGCAGCAGGGGAGCCACGAGGGCGCAGGCCCCGACCATGCTTCTCGCGGGGCTGGCGGTGAATCGAGGCTTCACCATCATGTTCTCCGACTTCAGCCTCAAGGCCCTCATCGCCGAGTGGTCGGAGGATCTGGGCCTCCCAGACGGGGTTCTGGGTAGATGGGGTCCGGAGGATCGCGCCGCATTGCCAAGGCATCGGCGATGCGGCTCCACGTGGCGCCCGATGTTCTCCACGCCGACGTCGCCGATGCGTCGCCGATGCATCGCTGCTGCATTGGCGATGCATTGGCGATGCGGCGCGATCCTCGTCCCCATCTGCTCGGACCCCATTCGGGAGGCCTCTGGAGGAGCACCTGGGCCCGAACCCGTTTTCGAGGCTGCGCCAGGGCTGCACCGGCCAGATGGTGCTGGAGTTCCTGCCGGCGGAGCTGCAGGTGAAGGAGTCAAGAGAGGAAACACCACCCCGACTCCGATAAGTGGCGCTTACGAAACGGCCCTGGGCGTTTACGAAACAGCCCTCCCCTGTTCCGTTCCTTCCTTGGGTGCGCCTATTGTATGGCTTTGCTTGTCGGGGTGCTTCTGTCGAAGAAGGAACAACGGCATAAGCAAACTTTCGGCGCTCCGCGCGGGTTTCTTAGATCCATGCTGGGCCCCCCGGCGGCGCCTCTGGCGCCACCCCTGGCGCGCGCCGCGCGTCAGGGAGGGGGGTCCAGCGCAGATCCTAGAAATCCGCGCGGAGCGCAAAAAGTTCATGCTCACGCCGTTTTTTCTTTTTCTATTATTGTTAAGTCGGGCATGTCCCTCTACAGGAGGAATACTCAAAGAGTAAAATAGTCTGGGCTCTTTTTATTTGTTGTTGATTTTTTCCATCTTCCTCGAAGCCCCGTCTGTAGGAGGACATGCCCGACCTAATGTTATTGCGAGGGTGGGTTTTGGCTCCCCGAGGAGGTGCCCCAGCAGCTGCAGGTGGTCGGCGAGCTCTGCGCGGAGCAGGGCAAAGCGGCAGTGAAGGCCATGAGCGACACCATCTGATGGGCCAGTTTTCCACCACCACTGCCATAGGTAGGATGGGGGAGAAGGGAGGATGAGGACCTCCTCCTCCTCCTCCTCCTCCTCCCTCTCCTGCCTATGGCAGTGGTGGTGGAAAACGGGCCGATCGCCATCCTCTACACGCTGAACCCGAGTCGCGCGGCGACCGAGCTCTACGTGCTGAAGGTGCTGACCGTTGTCAGCGAGGTCTCTGGCGGCCTCGCCATGCCCGACGCCATGAAGTGCAGCGTGGGCGACGGCCCTGACGAGAAGCGCGGCGCCGCCGGGCACGTGACGCTGACCTACGCCTCAGGGGGCCAGCTCGTGGCCAGCGCGGGTCACTGGATCGAGCTCTCCCGCCTGGACACCACCGAGGAGCAGGTCGCCCAGGTGCAGGGCTGGACCCAAGCGGTGTTCGGGCCATCTCGCGGGCCGTCTTGCTTTTCGTTCTCTTGTGCATCCGAGAGGCGCAGCGACGGCGCTACTTTTTGTCGCGACCGCAGGCGAGGGCGCCAGCGGCGAGTCAGGTCCGAGCGGGCCGCGCAAGAGCCGAATTGCCTAAGGCCGACGGGCCGGCGACCTCAGCAGTCCCTCGGCGGGCCGACGGCGCTGCGAGGAGTGACGGGAAACACAGGGCGAAAGCGAAGAGCACCGCTTGGGCTCAGCCCTGTCCAGGTGGCGGCCCGAAACTTCGGCGCGGAGATGCGCACCCAGTACGAGTCGGAGCTGGCCCAGTTCTCCAGCGCCCAGGAGCGGTACGACTGCTCGCAGAGGCACCCCTGGGGGCGCGAGCTATCCGCCTGCCTCGATCCCAGCTGGGCCACATCGGGGGGGCGGCGTGTGTGCTTCCCCCCGCACGCTGGCCAATCCTCTTCTCGGTGCCCCCCTTTGGCTCTCATCGCTGGTTCAGCCGACTCTGCCTCGCCGCCGACGGCGAGAGTGTGCTCCCCCACGTTCCTGGCTGGGACAGGCGAGCACACCTCCGCCGCGCCTGGGCCCGGGCTGGACCGTCGGCGCCGCGACATCCTTTCGACGAGACCTGGGCCCCCGGACCCCTCGAGCACTTCTCGGCAGCAGCTCTTGCAGCCCCCGCGGCCTCGGAGCGGCCCAGGCCCGACGCCGGCTGCCCACTCCTCAGGAATGCGGCCCTCGCGGCCATCTCGACCTGTTCGAGCCGCTGGCTGCTCGTGGATTTAGCCACGATGGCATCAGCCACGCGCATAAGGGGGGTGGGGGGAGGGGGGAGGGCTTCTTAGAAACACCCCTGCTTCTGTGGAAGGCGCGGGCCTTATCTGTAGATGCAAGGCCAGCGCCTTCCAAGAAGCAGGGTGCTTCTAAGAATCAGGAGGGGAACAAGCACACAAACACAACTCATCGTCCATTCACCCGACAATATGGGGAAATATAGGAATTGGGGGGGGGGGGGAGGCAAAAACCCAAAACATCTGGGGAAACATGGGGAATCCTGTTGCTTGTGCCTGCTTGTTGGCGTGTCCCAGGGCCTCCTCACAGAAGCCCTTCCCCCCCTCATCCCGCCCCCTCCCGAGCGCGCCGCCCAGAGGCACGGGGTCCCAAGAGGGAGCGGGCGCCCGCCCTCGGCCCCCCCCCCCTTACGGGGGACCAGGCGTTCCTCCTGCGCGGTGCTCGATGGTCCGGGCCCCCCCCCCGCTGGAGGGCCCCCGTGGCAGGAGATGGGCGAACCACCTCCAGGATGATGTCGGGCATGCCCATTCACAGGGGGAATATATTTCAAAGTAGTCAAACACCTTTTTTTTCTTCTTGTTTATAGTTATAGTATTCTTGTTCGTATTCATACTAATATTCATATAGTTATCTTCATTATTATTATTATGTTATGATTATTCTTATGATTACGACTATTATTTTTATTATTATTATCATCATTAGTATCATTATTATCATTATCGTTATTATCATTATTATTCTCATTATTACTACTATTATGAATTTGATTCGATCGCAATACGCAGTTTTTTAGTACTTCTGATTTGTCGTCCACTATCTGCCTGTAGGGGGACATGCCCGATCTAATTCCAGGACCCCTTTGCTCCAGGACGCCTTTCTTTCGTACCGAGCCCGCGAAGTCCATCCAAGATCGATCCCTGTACCCCTTTCGGAGTACAGTCTGCCCACTTTTTGGAGCCGCATCTGTCCAGCCGTGACGACGACACTTCCAAACCCTCCCAATTCCTTCAATTTCAATAGGAAGACGTCGGCGTCGATCCTCCTCGAACCTCGACCCTTGATCCTCGTCGTGGACGACTTGTGTCCGTCGTGCTAATTCTTGACGTTTCGCGTAGCGCCACATCCTTCCTTTATAGCCTGCCCCTGCTTGCCCGGCGGCGTCCGACTAGATTCGCGCGCCTGCGTACCCAAGAAAGCGTAGCGCCACCATCCGATCCAGAAACGATGCTCAGGCGAGTTGCCTTGATCAAGTAAGTGTAGGCACAAGCAGTCGAGCAACGACGGGAGACAGCCGTCAAACCGAAGTTCAGGATCAGCCAGAGCAGACCCAGGAGTCAGCCACAAATGCCTTCTTTTTCCTCCTCTTCCACCTCCTCCTCCTCCTCCTCCTCCTCCTCCTCCTCCTCCCCTCTTTCTCCTTTTTGTCTTTCTCCTCCTCCTCTCCTCCTCATCCTCCTCCTATACTGGGAGCCTTCTGGTATCTTCTTTGGAGCATACTTTGGCCCTCTCGAGGCCATTTCGGAGGCCCGCGGGGTTCTCTTGGAGACAACTTTGGGGCTCTTTTGGGGCCCCCATGGGGACTTTGGGAGGAGGAGTAGGACGAGGAGGAGGAGGAGGAGGAAGAGGAGGAGGAGGAAGATGATGATGATGATGATGATGATGATGATGATGATGATGATGATGATGATGAGGATGAGGATGAGGATGAGGATGAGGATGAGGATGATGATGATGATGATGATGATGATGATGATGATGATGATGATGATGATGAGGACGAGGACGACGACGACGACGACGACGACGACGACGACGACGACGATGATGATGATGATGATGATGATGATGATGATGATGATGATGATGATGATGATGATGATGATGATGATGATGATGATGATGATGATGATGATGATGATGATGATGATGATGATGATGGTGGTGGTGGTGGTGGGTGTGGTGGTGGTGGTGGTGATGATGATGATGATGATGATGATGATGATGATGATGATGAGGAGGAGGAGGAGGAGGAGGAGGAGGAGGAGGAGGAGGAGGAGGAGGAGGATGAGAAGGAGGAAGGAGGATGAGGAGGAGGAGGATGAGGAGGAGGAACTCTCTTAGGGGTCATTTTTGAGATCGTCGATCAAAAAGGGGAGGGCGGTAACTTGACTGCGATCGTATGAGCAAGACAGATTGTCTTTCGAGGCCCGCTTGGGACACTTTTGGGCGATCTTGAAGCCATCTTGAGACCTCAGAAGCCCATCGGAAGCGAAAAGGCGAGAAGGTCAAACTCACTGAACCAGTTAGGTGCTTGGAGGATTGGGCCCCATCGGGGGTCTCGTTGGGGGCTGCGAGGCCAATCTGAAAAGACACTGTGCCGTCTTCTGCTGACATTTACAGGGGTTCAGACGAGACCCCCAGCCATGGGCGCTGCCACCGGTGCCATTGCTGCCACTTTCACGAGCTCCTGGAAGGTCCAGCGGAGTCATGCGTTGTGGGGGTCCAGTTCGAGACCTCGCCCTCCCTGGGTGCTGTTACTTGGGGCATTTGCGGTCGCTTTCGTGAGCTTAGGGGAGGCCCAGCGGAGTGAGGCTGCGCGGGAATTCACACGAGAACCTTCTTTACGTCAGCGGCGAGGCAGATGCAGTCCGCTCCAGCTTGTGGCTATTCGGGGCAACCGAAAGGGTAATTGTCCGGCGTGCAAGAGGGAGGAAGTCCATACACACGTCACCCCAGAGTTGCAGCGCGGCTGTTGCCACTGTCGTGAGCTTCTGGGAGGCCCAGCGGGATGACGTTGCACGCGGGTCGAAAGGAGACCTCGCCCTCGCTGGTTAGTGCCAACTGGGCAATCATTGCCACACTCGTGAGTTTTGGGAGGTCCAGCGGATGAATTATGGTGATCCAGACGAGACCCCACGCCATGGGCGGTGCCAACTGCGCCCCTGTCGTGCGCTCCCGGGAGGCAGAACGCAGCGACGTCTCGGGGAGATCCGGGCGAGACCTCGCCCTCCGCGGGTGGTGCAACCTTCGCGCTACAGTGAAGACCATGCCAAGGAACACCCTGCTTGCCTCCATGGTGCCCTGGGTTTCTTGGGTTTCGATGGTTTTGCTTTGGAAAGCGTGACGTCCCCACACCAAAAGTCAATAGACGTCCTGGGGTCTCAGGGTTGGGTTTCTTGTGGAAGGTTTCTTGTGGATGACAGGCGCGCAGCCGTCGACACTCAGCTGCGCTCTTGGGGGGTCCAGGGGGGTGGCGTTTTCCCTTGGTGCTGCCAGGCGGGCGACCGTCGCTGCTTTTCGCCCCTGGGGGTCCAGCCGAGTGACGTCTTACGAGTGTGGTTTTACGCTCATCAAGCGAGGTTTTCCCCTCGTGGGCGCTGCCCACGGCGCAACCTGCGTCGGTTTCTAGAGCTGTTGGGAAGGCCAGTGGGTGGTCGCATTGCGCTTGCGACTCACTTTCTTTCGGTGCCGCCTCGTGTAGTTACGTTTCTGGAGGCGCGCAGTGCGCACGTTCCCCGTGCATGCCGCAGGAAAGATGACGCGCCCCTTCGAATGCGTGCGGAGTCGTCTTGGGTGAGCCAGTTGATGTTGCCACTGGATGCATATGGGTTGGGTGGGACCCCGTGTAGTTGCCTTCTCGTTCTTCTCGCTTCCGAAAGGCTTCTGACACCTAAAGACAGCCTCGACAGGGTCCCAAGCGACTCGAGAGACGGGCCCAGGATGGCCTAAGAGGTCTCCGTGGGCTTCCAAGAGGACCCTCAGTGAGCCCTAAGAGGGCTCCTGGAGTGTTCCAGACCATCCAAATTTTGAAAAGGCCAGAGGGGTGAAGCGTCCTGGGCGCCAAAACGGTCCCAGAAGGACACCCGAGGCCCCAAGAGGCCCGCAAGAGGGCCTCTAGAGGCTCCCGGGGTTCTCCAATAGGCCTTCGAAGTGCACCCATGAGGTCCCGTAAGAGGCCCTCCATCGGGTCCCAGAGGTCCTCCAGCGGCTTGAAAGGGTCCTCAGGGCGCTCCAGGGCTGACGTCTCCCAGCAAGCCGATATTCATGAGCATCTCGTGCTCAATCATCCCGATCGGCTTGCCTCAACCTCCCCTACCGCCCAGTATGGGCGATTTTCTGGTCCTCTCCAGTGCACAGGCGAGGGGGGAAGCTGCGACTTGGGGGGTGGGGAGCGGCATGCCCCTTTCCGAACGATACTGTTAGTATTATGAAGAACATCCGCAATGATTGTGTTAACCATAACAGCAATATCATTATTAACAATAATACGGTCAATAGTAATTCTACCGGAGAAAAGCCCCAATCATAATCTCAGGTAAGCGGAGACGGGGTAACAGCAGACGGGGTAACAGGAAATGGCCGGTTCGAGGCAACAGACGCGCACTTCGTTGCAGTGAAGTTTTTTCGGCTTTCGCGTTCAATGCAGCACTTGCCACATGTTGTCTGCGTTGAAAATTCTCGGCTGCTGCACTGCAACTTTTTGTTTTGGGCCTCTTACCCAGTCTGTGGGGCTTGTTTGCAGTTCTCCCGCAATTAGTTGCAAAAAGCTGCGGTGCAGATTTTTTGCGCTGCAGAACAACTGCCGTGCAGTTTGTTGTTCTGGCCGTTGCAGCTTCTCCATTTGGATCCTACTGTGGGTCTGTTGCCCCGTTTAGGTGTCATTCGGTTTAGTTTTCCCTGGGAGTTTTTGTAGGGCTATCGGATTATGGGGCTATAAGACCATAGGGCTATAAACGCTATGGAGCTATCGGACTATAGAGCTATAGGGCTATAGGGCTATAGGGCTATAGGGCTATAGGACTTTACGGCCATAGGGCTATGGGGCTGTTGGGCTATAGGGCTATAGGGCTATTAGGGCTACATGACTATAGGGCTGGCTATAGGGCTACAGTGCTGTAGGGCTATAGGGCTATTCGGGCTATAGGACTATAGGGCCATAGGGCCATAGGGCTGTTGGGCTGCAGGGCTATAGGGCTATTAGGGCTACATGG